CTACTACTACTCTCTCTCTCTCTCTCTCTCTCTCTCTCTCTCTCTCTCTCTCTCTCTCTCTCTCTCTCCCCTTTTTTGCGAAAATTTACGGTAGTACAGTAACGATTTGGTAAACGAAACTTTTGGCGAAACGTTTAATGTTTTGAATTCAATCCATTTATTTGATCCATTGCGTCGATAAAAACCGATCGCCATCGCTCAGCGTCCTATTAACGTGCGATGGACGTATAATTATCTCGAATCGAGTTAAAATGGAAGTACACGCGAGATAAAGTTTGAAATTCGTGTTGTAAAAGCAAAGCATCGGAATGGTCCTAATATTTAAATGACCGCTTTTCTGCTGATTGTCTAATATAAAAAATATATATTTCAAAAATTGCTCTAAAATTTCATTACAAATTGATGCAACGTATTTGCCTGAGAATAGGAATGTTTAAAATACACTTGTATTTATTTATAAAACAATCAGTTACAAAACGATTCTCAAATAAGAGTTATTTTTTATAGAATTGATTTAACAGTCCATAGTTTCCAATGTTCAATATTCTTATTGAAAGTTTTTATAGTAAAGAGAGATATTTTGTGTGTTGTGTGTGTTGTGTATGTGTGTGTGTATGTGTTAATCTAATCATAAAAATTGCCTCGTTATCTCGAAGAAAAATCGTCTAAGGCTTTTTAAAAAATTCTATTTGTGCACTCTTAAGTCGAAGAAGCTGCTCAGTTATTAACTCCCGTTAAATCTCCCGAGTTTACTGATGCCATTTTTGTCGTGAAAATAATCTTCTAAATGACGGACATTCACGTTTGCAGAGCCATCGTTATTTATTAACGCCGGATACTCTCCTCAAGTTTCAAAGGCATATACTATTATGAGACTATTTATATTATATGAGGAACCTTGATACGGAATACTTGCCAGTGTTATGAGCATTTTTATGATCAGTATTATGTCGTGGTCCTTTCCATAATAAATAAAAATTATTTTTATACCGTCAAACTTGGTCGATAACACAATTTCCCAATTCGAAAAATATACACAGCCTTTACGCCTTGTTGATAAAACAACCCACAATAATCAATAATTTCCATATTACATTTTCACCGATCGTGCGATTGTTTTTTCCCGCTGAAAAATCCGCAACAATATTTCTATTTTCTTGAGATTTTTCTGTTTTCAAAGACATTCACGCCTCGGAGCGCTGACGAAAGTATCGCGGATAAATTTGAGGATACCGAAAACGCGAGGAGGAATAAGAGATTCCACTGAGCCAGCTTGATTTTGCCACCAAAATCGGACAGCTGCTCTCTTTATCTGCCGTTCGATGGCATACTCTTTTTTTCTCGCGCATGATCCGACATGTTCGTCTCGCATCTGCATAGAGATTGGATGGCTGCGGTATATATTTCAGTTTGAGGGCGCGATAGCTTAATATTCGTCCACCGATAAAAATCATGCGGAATCGAATGAAACGGGCGTACGAAGTTAACGGAAAGTTTACGCGACAAGTTTTCGTGCACGCCGATATCAAAGCGCTATTTTTATTAATCTTGATTAGAACCGATAAGAAAAACCGCGAGGTATTTCTACGATGGAAAGTTTACGATCGACTGATGTCCCGTTAATTCAAAAATTGTTTCATTCACGAAGCTTTTTCATTGCGTTTTCATAATTATCATATTTCAATATCAATTGCATCGAAATTCGTGCATGAGAAATTTTATTTATCTAAATTTATTTATCTAATCTAAGATCGAGACGTTTGTAATCTTATATGTAATTTTTACAACTTTAACATTTGTTTATTTATAAATACTCTTAGCACAAACAACGAGTTTGGTTTATTTTTATTTTAATACTTTTAAATTCTATTTTATTTTGTCATTAAAAGTTTTTTAAATGCAGTGTGTTCCGGAAAAATTTCTAGGAGATTCAGCAACGTACGTGTTGAATCAATAATTTTGTATCTTTACAGAATTCAATTAAACCACTAAGTAATGCAATTGCCGAAATACTATCTTGGATCTAAACGAGCTCCAAAATTTCTGCAATTTCCGTTTGAGAATAATTTCGATTCTTCGCAAGGAGAATATCAACCTTACTGTTGGATAAGCAACTCTTTTCGAGATACTCTGGAATGTTCAAAGCTTTATCGCTGATTTCTGATTAGCTTTTATTTGCGGACTTCACCGGATGGTTTGCATGTCAAGCTTGCTCATTAAAGAGAATTAAAGAGAAAGAAAAGAGTAGTTCTCATGTTTCTTTGTGCGCAACTCTCTTTAAAATCGCGGAATTTTAATCAACGTTGAGTCGGGACTTAT